ATACCTTGAAATTACCTGTTTTTTTTTATATTAAAACGTTAAATTACGAAGGTTGTAAAGAAAATATGGTCTTTTTAACACATGCTACCGTAATGTGGTCTTCAAAACATGATGTTCAGGAGTGATGAACATCTCGATATAGAATAAATTATAGAATTAAAAAAATAATGGAAGCCCACGCGCAGTGCAAGACCGGGGTGGGAGGGGGGCGGGGTGGGGTGGGGGTGGAGGGGGGGTCGGGATGACGAAAAATGTTGTCATCATATCATTTCATATATATAATATATATAAAAGTGACATTTTGTGGGTTTGTGGGTTTCTTTGTAGGTAGTGTTCCACAAAGGCTTTTACATGGATTGATGGATCTTGACCTAACTTGGTAAATATATCCATCATTATCCAGAAGGAACTCTTAAGGGGTTATGAACTTTTTATAACATTTCTTTTGGGGCCCGGGGCCCAAAATGTCGTTTTTTCCAATATGAGCTATATAAATAAAATTACTAAAAAAACACTCTTACATGAATGGACGGATCTGACCAAACTTAGAACGCTTACACTTGATTATCCATATTCAAATACCGAAAGGGTACTGAACTCACAATATCCATTCCTAGGGTTCAATGTTCCCTCTAAGGTTTGTTGGTTCGTGTGCAAAATCATAAATTTGTGTGCAAATTTTTACAGCATCAATTTTTTGTGCGCAAATTTTACAGCCTACAAAGACACCCTTATAGAGAAATTAGCTGCGCGGTACTCAAAACTGCTGCGCGGAGTCTGTGAGATTACTGCGCGGCCGCGCAGCTTAAAGGCAACATTGCCTAGGGGTGGGGGCCTCATTTCATTTTTCTTATATAAGCTATATAAATATCAATAGGCTTAGACAACACTATAGGTTCTATGTAAAATGATCACTATCAGCATAGCGTAGTAGCCATAGGCCTACACTTCATCGTCCATTTTGAAATATCGGTTGATTTAAAACTAAGAATATCCAATCCATGCAGGGACGATCTAGAATTTTCTAGAAAGTTCGATAGTTTAAAAAGGTGATATCTATGGTATTTTTAAAATCATTTTAATGGGACAAATTTTAACTCTATTATTTACTATGATTTTGATAGCCCCCCCCCCCAATCCCAGAAATAACTAAATTGTTACAGTTCTGAAATGGGCCCCCCTGGCCCCCTTGATTCCCGGTAATTAACATAA